CAATCTTTTTTTTTGTAACCAGGGGATCGACTACGACCTGGTTTACAAGACCGTGCTCTCCACTGAGCTATGATGGCGCCGATTACGTCATATTACTCAATGCACATTTTGTTTCTTTCGCTACATTTCTCTCGTAGATTAGTTTGAAATATATAATGAGACACATTTCTCTTAAAATGACATTCTTAGGATTAAATTAACGCGGATTAATCAGGCGATCGCAAGCACTATAAAAGAAATATACACACGCGTCTTTCGATTAAACAACTCCATGCTGTCAGTTTTGTAAAGCCACAGTGAGGATCAACTCACGACCCTGGTTTACAAGACCAGTGCTCTGCCACTGAGTATGATGGCGCGATTACGTTCATATTACTCAATGACATTTGTTTCTTTCGCTACATTTCTCTCGTAGATTATTTGAAATATAAATGAGACAATTTCTCTTCCAAAATGACATTCTATTAAGGATTAAATTAACGCGGATTAATCGAGAGCGATCGCAGCTATAAAAAAAATTACGCACGCGTCTTCGATTAAAACAACTCCATGCTGATCGTATTTGTAAAGCCACCAGTGAGGATCGAACCACCCTGGTTTCAAGACCAGTGCTCTGCCACTGAGCTATGATGGCGCCGGATTACGTTCATATTACTCAATGCACATTTTGTTTCTTTCGCTACATTTCTCTCGTAGATTAGTTTGAAATATATAATGAGACACATTTTCTTCCAAAAATGACATTCTATTAAGGATAATTAACGCGGATTAATCGAGAGCGATCGCAGCACTATAAAGAAAAATATACAGCACGCGTCTTTCGATTAAAACAACTCATGCTGATCAGTATTTGTAAAGCCACCAGTGAGGATCGAACTCACGACCCTGGTTTACAAGACCAGTGCTCTGCCACTGAGTATGATGGCGTTACGTTCATATACTCAATGCACATTTTGTTTCTTTCGCTACATTTCTCTCGTAGATTATTTGAAATATATATGAGACACATTTCTCTTCAAAATGACATTCTATTAAGGATTAATTAACGCGGATTAATCGAGCGATCGCAGCACTATAAAGAAAATATACAGCACGCGTCTTTCGATTAAAACAACTCCATGCTTGATCACGTATTTGTAAAGCCACCAGTGAGGATCGAACTCACGACCCTGGTTTACAAGACCAGTGCTCGCCACTGAGCTATGATGCGCGATTACGTTCAATTACTCAATGCACATTTTTGTTTCTTTCGCTACATTTCTCTCGTAGATTAGTTTGAAATATATAATGAGACACATTTCTCTTCCAAAAATGACATTCTATTAAGGATTAAATTAACGCGGATTAATCGAGAGCGATCGCAAGCACTATAAAAAGAAAAATATACAGCACGCGTCTTTCGATTAAAAACAACTCCATGCTGGATCACGTATTTGTAAAGCCACCAGTGAGGATCGAACTCACGACCCCTGGTTTACAAGACCAGTGCTCTGCCACTGAGCTATGATGGCGCCGGATTACGTTCATATTACTCAATGCACTTTTGCTTCTTTTTGCTACATTTCTCTGTGGAAATTTGTTTGAAATATATAATGAGACACATTTCTCTTCCAAAAATGACATTCTATTAAAGGGTTAAAAAGGGGTTAATCGAGCGATCGCATGCTCTATAAAAGAAAAATATACAGCACGCGTCTTTCGATTAAAAACAACTCCATCCTGGATTCCCCGTATTTTGGGGAAAACCATCAGGGGGGGGATCGAACTAACGACCCCTGGTTTACAAAAAACCAGTGCTCTGCCACTGAGCTATGATGGCGCCGGGGTTACGCCTAAATTTTAATCATTTTTTGTTTCTTTTTGCTACATTTCTCTCGTAGATTGGGTTTTAAATATATAATGAGACACATTTCTCTTCCAAAAAAGGGCATTCTATTAAGGGGGTTAAAAATTTCACTTGGATTATAAACGAGAGCGATCGCAAGCATATAAAAAAAAAAATATACAGCACGCGTCTTTCGATTAAAAAAAACTCAATGCTGGATCACGTATTTGTAAAACCACCGGAAAGGGTCGAAAAATCCCACCCCCGGTTTACAAGACCAGTGCTCTCCCACGGATATGATGGCGCCGCATTACGTTCATATTACTCCCAAAGGGACATTTTTGTTTCTTTCGCTACATTTCTCTCGTAGATTAGTTTGAAATATATAATGAGACACATTTCTCTTCCCAAAAAAAGACATTCTATTGGGGTTAAATTAACGCCCATTAATCGAGGCGATCCATGCACTATAAAAGAAAAATATACAGCACGCGTCTTTCGATTAAAACAACTCCAAAGCTTGGATCCGGATTTGTAAAAACCACCAGTGAGGATCGAACTCCCCACCCCCGGTTTACACAACCAGTGCCCGCCACTTTAGATATGATGGCGCCCTTTCGTTCATATTAACCCAAAGCTTATTTTTGTTTTTTTTCGCTACATTTCTTTCTGATTAATTTGAAATACATAATGAGACACATTTCTCTTCCAAAAAAGACATTCTTTGGGATTAAATTAAGCGCGGATTTCGAGAGGGGATCGCATGCAGTATAAAAATAAAATATTTCAGCCCCCGTCTTTCGATTAAAACAACTCCCCTGCTTGATCACGTATTTGTAAAGCCCCCCAGTGAGGATCCCAACTCCCACCCTGGTTTTAAAAACCAGTGCTCTGCCACTGAGCTATGATGGCCCCCGCATTACGTTCATATTACACAATGC